GGAATTGGTAGGAATTCCGTATAATTCCGGAATTGGTAGGAATTCCGGAATCGGTAGGAATTCCGTGTAATTCCGTAATTAGTAGTAGTCCACGCAATTCCGGAATTGGTGGGAATCGGTAGGAATTCCCAGGAGTTCCGTCCAATTCCACTGAATTCCGTCTTGATGCAATTCCCGGAATTCCGCAACGGAATTGGATCGTATGCAAACGGGATAACTTATCAGCACAACACAACAAATGTGGGTGAGGTGGATGGTGTGATAACTTATCAGTACAACACAATAAATGTGGGTGAGGTGGATGGTGTGATTCCGGTGCGGAATTCCGGAATCGGAACCAATTCCCGCAATTCCGGAATCGGTGGGAATTGGCGGGAATTGGTAGGAATTCCGTGTAATTCCGTAATTAGAAGTAGTTCACGCAATTCCGGAATTGGTGGGAATCGGTAGGAATTCCCAGGAATTCCGTCCAATTCCACTGAATTCCGTCTTGATGCAATTCCCGGAATTCCGTAACGCAATTAGATCGTATCCAAACGGGATAACTTGTCAACACAACACAACAAATGTGGGTGAGGTGGATGGTGTGATTCCGGTACGGAATTCCGGAATCGGAACCAATTCCCGCAATTCCGGAATCGGTAGGAATTCCGTGCAATTCCGGAATCGGTGGGAATTCCGTGCAATTCCGGAATCGGTCGAACTCGATCAATCTCGACTGGGTGTCTTATGTTGTGTGTCGATCGAGTTCCCGGAATTGGACGGAATCGATTCCGGTGCGGAACTGATTCCTCCAATGTTCAACATCGCGGAATAGGATGCATTCTCACTAACTACCTATAGCAAAATCTACAAATTATTCCATACAGTTTGCGGACAACATCTGTTTTTCGTTAATGAATTGTAGCACAGCTAAAGGTTCACTCAAAAAGCTTATAGAACTGCAAATAAATCCCATCATGGTACATGAAGTATTAGTTTCTCTTTTATAAATCCTTCAGTAAATTATTCGAGCTGATCAAAAATATATTAGATGAGTTTGTGTTAAATACCAATTTATGAAATATTCATTATTTTGCTAAATATTCTATACGTTTTTGATAGTGAATCACAATCTGAGTCAAACCATCTATTTGAATGGATAAAACAAGAATACAAACGAAATGGTTATATTGAACGTCTGATGAATCCAGCAAAATTCTATCCAATTGAAGAGAGTTACATTAATTTAGCCATCGTCGAAACTAAAAAACAACAACAAAAAGAAAAACAACTTCGTGATGCTTCTAACAGTGATGCTGTTATGGGAAGTTTTGAAGAAATCTATGGGATAAAATCTACAATAGATGTCAAAAACATTTTTGAACCATGCAAAAATCAAGAGAAAAAAGTGTTGGTGTTCGGACGTGCTGGAATCGGAAAATCCACATTTTGCCGATATATTGCGTATCAATGGGCAATGAGTTTATATTGGACACAGTATGAGTTATTGGCTTTGATTCCACTGCGTCGATTAACAACTAATCGATATCCTCCTTTACCAAACGGTCAGAACTATTCTTTGCTTGATCTTGTGAAAAAAGAAATTTTTTCATATGATCTATCCGACAGTGAAGACAAACTTCTAAAAAAACACTTTGATGCAAAAAAGACTGTATGGATTTTGGATGGATATGATGAAATTGTACAAAATGTACCTTTGCATTTGGAATGCTTATTCGAACAATTACTTAAAACTCCACATCATATTTTGACATCTCGTCCATATCAAAATGTATTAGCCTATCATGTACAAATGGAAATCACAGGTTTTACAGACAAAAATATCGAACAGTATGTGAAGCAATTCTTTGATCAAATGAATGATGAATTAGACAATTCTTCGAACAAAAGTCAAAAACTATTCGGATTCTTGCAGTCGAATCGATCTATCTGGGGTGTTGCACATATTCCAGTGAATCTAGAACTGATATGCAGTGTTTGGAGTAACGAAGATCTTATAGAAAAAAAAGGATTAACAATGACATCATTGTATATAGTGATGACAGAGTGGTTATGTCGACGATATTTATCAATGCCAAATAAAAAAATTCAAAATTTATCTAAAGACGACGTTAATCAGCGCTGTGAAAAGGAATTGGCATTCTTAGAAAATATAGCCTTTAATGGAATGAAGAATAACACTATAATTCTACGACCAAATCTACTAAGGAAAGCACTAAATGAAGAAAACGTTTCTTTACATGACCATCCGCATATACTCAATATGGGAGTTCTCAAAAGTTTTAATAAACAAGGTATCGATACTCAAATTGAAACAGATAAAGATTATTATTTTGTGCACCTCAGTTTTCAGGAATATTTTACAGCACGGTATTTGATTAAAGCTCTCAAAGAATCTTCTACTCACCAAGAAGAAATCAAGTTTATTCAGCGAGAAAAATATAATCAACGTTATGCATTAGTATTTACTTTTCTATCCGGTCTATCCACTGATGCTGATACAAACATAAATTTAAACATCTTTTGGGAATTTATATTAACACCACCGATCGATCTTATTGGGATAAGACATATGCAACTTGTTATTTCATGCATTGAAGAGACATCAAGTCAATTGACTATTCCCCAACACACTTTACTGATAGAATGGATAGCAAAATGCATCGAGCATAACATGTCCACAGAAAACCAAATTATTCGTCAGTGTCTTGCACAATCATTGAGAAGAGCACCATCGGTAATAAACAATCAAAGAATTATAAATGCATTTATCCGTGTACTTCAAACGAATGATTCAAATATCAAAATGTCAGTGCTCTCATTCATTTCTGCAATGAACAGCTCAAATCTAGCGGTTCCACTAATTAATTTAGTGACTATCGCTCTAAACGATAAAGACGAGATGGTCCGATGCTATGCATGCCAAGCTCTCGAGGATATCGGTGAAAAGGCATCGACGAATGAAATAATCACTAAATTAGTCAAGGCATTAGAAGACGAAAGTTCTCTTGTCAAAGCCAGCGCCTGCCAAACTCTCGGATATATAGGTAAAAAAGCAACGACTAATGAAGTAATCACTGGACTAATTAGTGCATTAGAACATGAGAGTAAATGGGTTAGATGGTATGCATGTCACGTTCTCCAAAATATAGGTGAAAAAGCAGCGACGAATGAAGTGATCACTAAACTGGTTAGTGCATTAGAAGATAAAAGTGACAATGTTAGAGCCGGTGCATGTCAAGCGCTCGGAAACATGCGCGAAAAAGCAGCGACGAATGAAGTGATCACTAAACTAGTTAGTGCATTGGAAGATAAAAGTGACGATGTCCAAGCCGGTGCATGTCAAACTCTCGAAAATATAGGTAAAAAAGCAGCCACGAATGAAGTGATCACTAAACTCGTTACTGCATCACAGAGTAGGAGTGAAACAGTCAGTTGGAGCGCTCGTAAAGCACTCTCGAATATAGCTGAAAAAGCAGCGATAAATGACGTAATCACTCCACTAGTTAGTGCATTAAAAGATAAATCTCACAGTGTCAGAGCCGGAGCATGCCAAGCGCTCGGAAATATGGGTGAAAAAGCAGCGACGAATGAAGTGATCGCTAAACTATCAAGTGCGTTAGACGATGAAAGTAAATGGGTCAGGGGGGAGGCATGCAAAGCGCTCGGGAATATGGGTGAAAAAGCCGCGGTGAATGAAGTGATTACTAAACTGGCTAGTGCGTTAGAAGATGAGAGTGACATTATCAGATCAAGTGCACGCAAAGCTATCCGGAATATGGGTGAAAAAGCAGCGACGAATGAAGTGATCATGAAACTGGTTAGTGCGTTAGAAGACGAGAATGACACTATCAGAGCAAGTGCATGCAAAACTCTCCGGAGTATGGGTAAAAAAGCAGCGACAAATGAAGTAATCACGAAACTGGTTAGTGCATTACAAGATAAATGTGAGAATGTCAGAGCCGGTGCATGTCAAGTTCTCGGGAATATGGATGAAAAAGCAGCGACGAATGAAGTGATCATTAAACTGGTTAGCGCGTTAGAAGATGAAACTGAATGGGTCAGAGAGGAAGCGTGCAAAGCTCTCGGAAATATGGGTGAAAAAGCAACGACCAATGAAGTGATCACTACACTGGTTAGTGCATTAGAAGATAAAAGTGACAATGTCAAAGCCGGTGCATGCGAAGTTCTCTGGAGTATAGGTGAGAAAGCAGCCACGATTGAAGTGATGATTAAACTGGTTACTGCATCACAAGATAGGAGTGACAAAGTCAGTAGAAGCGCCCAGTATGCACTCCGAAATATAGCTGAAAAAGCAGCGATAACTGATGTGGTCACTAAGTTGGTTAGTGCATTAGAAGATAAATGTAGCAGTGTCAGAGCTGGTGCATGCCAAGGTCTCGGGACTATCGGTAAAAAAGCAGCAACAGATGAAGTAATTACTAAATTGGCTAATGCATTAGAAGATGAGAACGAACAGGTCAGAGCCAGTGCATGCTATGCTCTCAGATGTATAGGTGAAAAAGCAGCGACGAATGGAGTAATCACTAAACTGGCTAGTGCATTAGAAGATAAATGTGACAGTGTCAGAGCCGGTGCATGTCAAGCTCTCAGAAAGATGCGCGAAAAAGCAGGGACGAATCAAGTGATCACTAAACTGATTAGTGCATTAGAAGATGAGAATGAATTAGTCAGAGTCAGTGCATGTGAAGCTCTCGGGAGTATGGATGAAAAAGCAGCGATAAATGATGTGATCACTAAACTGGTTAGTGCATTAGAAGATAAATGTGAGAATGTCAGAGCCGGTGCATTCAAAGCTCTCTGGAGTATAGCTACAAAAGCAGGGACGAATGAAGTGATCACTAAACTGGCTAGTGCGTTAAAAGATGAGAGTGACACTATTAGATCAAATGCATGCATTATTCTTGCAAGTATGGGTAAAAAAGCAGCGACGACTGAAGTGATCACTAAACTATCTAGTGCATTAGAAGATGAGAGTAAAAAGGTCAGGGAGGCGGCATGCATAGCGCTCGGGAATATAGGTGAAAAAGCAGCGACGAATGAAGTGATCACTAAACTAGTTAGTGTGCTAGAAGATAAATGTGAGAATGTCAGGAGCTGTGCATGGAAAGCTCTTTTGAATATAGATAAAAAGACAGCGACAAATGGAAAGATTGCTAAACTGGTTAGTGCATTAGATGATGAGAGTGAAGGAGTCAGAGTCAATGCATGCGACGCTCTCGGAAAAATGGGTGAAAAAGCAGCGACGAAAGAAGTGTTCACTAAGCTTCTGAATATGCGTGATGCTGATGAGCAATTGCCTATTCAAGCTGGAAATGCTATAGATGGTATTTTCCGTTCGTCGGCCGAAATGATTCGTTTTGGTCCAATGTTAGTCTCAAAACTTTGGGTGTGTGGGAGACAATTAACGTGCTTGAAAAATGTCTCAGTGGATGAATTAATCAGAAAATTTTTTGATACTCAAGATGCTGACTGGTTGTTGACGGCGACCAATATAACATTCGAGAAGGGTGCAGCTGTATGGATCAATGAAGATAAATTGATGGTGTATGATAATGGTGAACCAATTGAACTACGTGTTCCAAATCTGAAACTACATAACGAACTTACTGAAACTTTTACTAATAAAGCAAAAGCACTGCACTTATCTTTTGCGATATCGTCAAATCTGTGAAATTAACTTTAATTATATTTCTATTTTTGAAAAATCATGCATTTTTGTTCGAAATTGTTAATTAACGACATACATTTACTTCTCATATTGAGTTATGCTAGCATATTAGTTCTAAACTTTTTTCTTTGCTCGGTAGGTTGTATTTCTTAATCTACTTGTTTATTTACAATTATTGGCCGAGGTGTAGAAAAAATCCAAGTTTTTCTATTTTCAGTGATACAAAATAGTTATTGGTTGTCAACCACTTTGTAGAAATCATTTAATAGACAAGTGAATCTGTTATATATGACATAAAGTTTATTAAAAATGATTATATATCGTACTCATTCTAATGAAAAGCAAATATGTATTGTTTTTTCTGTTAATAATAAAAATCAGAAAGGATAATAATATAAGTTTCTTACTCATTTATAATTATTTTTAAAAATTTAAGACCAATGTTTAAATGAAAACTTTAGACTATTTTTCGATATATTAAGTTAACATTGAATTTTATTACTTTGCTATTTTATCAATTATTGTTCATTAAATATCTCATAGCGTCAAAAATTTATTCACATTATTCGAATAAGTCATGATTGATAAAGGTGAACTAAACGATTGTTTGCATGTTAAATATATATATTTATCATCAACCAGAACGATTCATATAAACTTGATTGTATTTCGTTTATCCATGAGTGCATGGAAATGAATTTTATATACAATACTGTATGATACATCAGAAGAAAAGTAATATTGAAGAAAATATCAAAGTATAGTGAAATGAAACATTTATTTAATGAATAAATAACATAACAAAAAGAGATTGATAGATTATCATGAAGATTTCTTATTTTATAAATCAACTTTACTTGATTTTAGTAATAATTCCTTGATCAATATGTAGAGTTTGATCGAAATTAAGCATATGCGCTCGTTCAGTATGTAGTGTAAGAAAAAGAATACCTTTCGATCGGTACCATTTCATAATATTATCAATGATAGTAATTGTTATTTCAGCAGGTAAACCTTTATCTGGTTCATCTAGAATCAATAGTGAAGAATTACGATTATGAGCACGATACAAAGCTCGTGCCAATAACAATCGCATTTTTTGTCCTCCACTCAATTTATTTTCCATTGCTTCATCAAGATCACCATTGAGTTCATCTCGAATAAAATCATCAATTTGAACAAGACGTAAAAATTCCCATACAAGTGAATCAAGTTCAGGCGTTCGATTTTTATTCACTTCATCTTCATCAATATCTGTAACCATACTATAAATTGTCGATCGATAGTCCATATCACTATCTTGTAAAACCATTGTTCGACATTTTTCAATGGAATGAAGTATTGATGATTGTTGTTCACTATCAATTTGTACTTTAGCTGAATAATCATTCATTGGAATTGAACCATTTAGAATATCGTAGAATGTTGATTTACCTATAATATATCATTTATATGTTTTATTCTTTGTAGAAAATAATTCTTGGATTACCTGATCCACTTTTACCAGTAATCAATATAACTTCACCCTTTTTAAAACTGAGTGAACCATCAAGTTGTAAATGAAAAGTTTCTCTTGTTCCTTTATATTGAAATGAAAGATCTTGAATTTGAAATTCATATTTTAGATCAATCTGTTCGACATTTATTCGTTCATCATATTCTTCTAATATTGGTTTAACGAGATCATAATCTTTTTTCAATCTTAACCAACGAATATAAGCAATTAATAGTTCATGAACACTACCAGTTAATGTTGATAGATAGTGATATAATGGAATAATAAATGTATTCATCCCATTCAAGATATAATAAATAATAATAGTTATAAATGTACATAATTTACCAAGTATATCTTCTTTCAGTGATAAATAATCGTACAAATAGTCAAGTTCAAACCACTGTTTTTCCATATCAACTTTTAATTCATTTGTAATTTGAACAATCTTATCCTTTTCATGATGAATAACATATTCAAACATGTTTGCATTTGCTCGTGAATACTTTGATTGTAATTTATCATATCTATCGTTTATTTTTAATTTGATATCAAGTAAATCCTTACTTTGCTTGTTCAAATAGAAACGATAGAAACATACATAAACAATACCAATCAGTATAGTTGCGAGTGGACATATATAAAATACAGTGATGATTGTTAAAGTCAATTTTGAGACTTCTTGTAAATGGGCAATCAAGTCTTCCATAAGAAATTGAATAGAAGATGAAGCTTCTTCAATTTTTCGTCGAATTTCGACTTGATCAGATAATTTAATTTTGATCCAATTCGCACTAAGAATTCGTTGATTTAATTTTGTTTGAAAATGCTTAAGAAAATCAAGAACAAAAATTTTCTTAGCTGAGCTTTGTTTAAGTAAACAATATGATGAAATGTTTTCAAATATCATCATTAGAAAGAGATATTTTAAACCTTGAGCAACATTTACCGTAATTGTAGAGAAAAAAGATACATTTAAATACGTAGTTAATGTCATTGAAATAGTAGTTAAAAGAAACCATTGAGTTAAAGTCCATGGTCTAAGTTCAATAATTATATCAAATATAATTTTGTATAAATCCCATGACGATGAACTTTGAAAGAAATAAAACCACATTTTTATCATTTGAATTGTTCTGATATGCTTCTTGTAAAAATTTCCTGATTAAATACTATTTTTTGTTTTTCCTGTGTAATATCATAAAATACGTCACGAGAAAGATAAGCACATGTGCGATGACGATGATATTGTAATAGCACCATTTCTTACGAAATTTATGACGCCTGCACCTTAAAACCTTATCTATGATGTAATTACAGTATACAATTACTGCAATATTTTATTGTATAGCAGCAATCGGTTTCTAAAACATTTATTATTATATTGTGTACGATTTAACATTATTTTAATTTTTGAAATAAGTACATAAAAATGAAATAAAAGTAATGATAGATGTTAATAAGATTTTATGAAAAAAATATGTACTAGTTGATTTGTTATTTTATAAATACTTTCATTAGATTGTGATGCTAATAAAATAGTATTCATGTAATAATTATTTTATTATTCCATCTGATCTTCTTCTTCGTAACTTATTGGTAAAAACAAACTTTAAATTAATTTAAAACATATTTTTCGAATACCTAGAAAAAGATTTGCGTCTCTCTAAAACTGCTTATCGTCTGATAAAATTACTAGAAAAATCTCTGTGACTAAATATTAAAGTGGGCACTGTAATATCAATGTGTACACAAAGAAGTGTCAACTATATCTAGTAACAACTTTGCTCGATATTTTCAATCTATGATATTTAACAAAAGTCAATATCAATAAATCAAGAATTGATTTGACATTTGCAAAAAGAAAAGAAGATAGTGTATATCATCAAATATTTGAAATAAATTCTTAACTCAAAACTTATGAAACTTTGACTTTAACAACTACATATATGAGTGAAAATTATTGCTGTTAGAATTGACTATTAAGTAATGTAATAAATTGATTGTTTAAAAAAGGATATCAATGTAAACTAACTGAATTTCACCTAATTTTACTTTTTTAATATCAAAATTAGTAACTTAAAATCAATCATAGTATAGATTTTGTTCTTTTATGGATTAATTATTAAGATATTGTATTTAAAGAAGTTGTCGGATTGAACTGTTACTTATGCCTTAATGAAATTTTAGCATTTTTATCGAACAACAATGTAATATAATAATCCTTTTGTTTACGTTCGACCCTTTGATCAAGACTATCATGCAATGAAAATATGTAAAGAAAGAGAAAAACAGATATATCATTAGGGAATACTTTAAAGTATAACTAAGAAATGTTATAATTACATGTATATGTGTGAGATGTTAATTTATTCCATGACCGAACACGAATCCATATAAAAAGAACGATGAAATATTACACACACCAAACACACAGAACAGAACAATATATATCTACCGCTGCCAACGCCTTCTCTTATGTATACATACATTCCAAAACACCCTCTCTAACTCAGAACAACAAAATATGGAAGAGGAGCGAAAAGACAGATGCAAGGAGTGTGAATGGAAACAAACAAACATGAGAGAGAAGAGAATGTATCATATGCATTGCACATGATAATACTTTATTATCAGCTTCTACCCAGTCTTCATTTCGTATTTATGTAAATATAGAGATAGACAGTGAGAAATATAGTTGAATATTAATTCTAATAGAGTGCTATATAGCAATATATACGATGAATGTAAATGTATATATGTTTATACAAGTTAATAGGATAATTTTCATCTAATTCATTGAAAGATTTAGAGTAATGTTTGAAATAAGTTTACTGATATATATTCACATAATAATTTCATTAGTTCTAGATTTTTTTCTATCGATGTGTCATTTAAACGCTCATCGATGTATACCACATGGTCTTATATATACTTTTTTAAGTATAATAAGTATATGTTTTCTAATTTTAACTATTGTCTTTGCGAGTCTATATCATAATTCTAATCCATCGTCTATTGTATATGCAGTTGAAAAAGGAGCAATTGGTTTTCCTATACGCTTACCAAATGATGGTCGATATATTCAATGGACATTTTTACATTTAAATGATGTTTATGAATTATTACCACTTTATAATGGACGAAAAGGTGGTTTAGCTCGTGTTGCTTATATACGGAAATTATTAAAAGAAGAAAATTCATATACTTATACAATACTTGCTGGTGATTTTCTTTCTCCATCAGTATTAAGTAGATCAGAAATAAATGGAACATACTTAAATGGTCGACATATGATAGAAACATTTAATACCATGGGACTAGATTTTGTAACATTTGGAAATCATGAATTTGATTTAAATGAAAAAGATTTACTATTGCGTATGAATGAATCAAAATTTTCTTGGATAAGTACAAATATCTATCGTAAAAATAGTCCTGAATTATTTGGTACAAGTATTTCACATAAAATACTTATAATTAATGAAGTTCGTATTCTTATTATTGGTTTAACAATTGATAAAAATCAATGTTATGTTAAAATTATTAATGAAACATATCTTATAAAACACGTTCAACAATATCTTCAACAATTTTCTCCTCAAACATATGATATTCTTGTTGCTATAACTCATTTAAAAATGTCAGTAGATATAAAACTTGCTGAAAATATCCCACAAATTGATTTAATTCTTGGTGGACATGAACATGAAGATTATTATTATTTACGAGGAAATAAATATACACCAATTTATAAAGCAGATGCTAATGCTTTTACAGTTTATATACTTCGTTGTGCATATAATATTGATACGAAAAAATTTCGTGTTTATCCAACATTAACACCGATAACACCAGAAGTTCAAGAAGAAGAACGAACATCAAAAGTAGCTAATTATTGGTTTAATTTAGGTATCGAAGGATTTCGTGCATCAGGTTTTGAACTAAATGAAACTGTTTCATGTCTACCATTAGGAACTGAATTAGATGGTAGATTAAAATCAGTTACAACTTCCTCTACATTATTAACTGATTTAATTTGTCAAAGTATGATCAAAGCTATTGGATTAAATAGAACAACTATTGCACTTTTTAATAGTAGTACATTACGTCTTAATGGTTTTCTACGAGAAAAAATAACACAATATGATATTTTACGTACATTACCTTACAGAAGTCCTATTATCGTTCTTTTAGTACCTGGTGAATTACTTGCACGAGTACTTACGAATGGTACATCATTGAAACGAGTTGGACCAGTTCTTGCTTATGCGGGAGTGGAAACTTTAAACAATGGTGAAACATGGTCAGTTAATGGAATTGATATATCAACAAGTGGTGTTAATTATACAGTAGTAACAACAGAATATACAAAATTATACAATCGAGATGTTATTGTATTACAAAAAACTAATCTAACACAAGCAAAAACATTGATTAATTATTTAAAAATAAAGTATCCTCCTTGTTAGAATAATATACTTGTTCTATCCATTTTGATTATATATATATATATATACAGAGACGTACCGACTAGGGGGCGCGTGGGATATTCGCTCCCTGCTTTGGAAAAATTTTGTTGTTTTTTGGTAAATAAAACCAAAAGTAAGGGTTTTTACGTGCTTTTGATGTTAGATTTTAGCAAAAAGGGTATTGTGCACCCCCTCGCTTTTAGAGATTGAAGAACTGAGATTTTACGTTTC